GCCGCTGCCGCCCACGTCCAGGTGGGGCCTCCAGGTGGGGATGGGCCTCCCTGAGCCTCTGCCCCCTTGGCCTGGTGAGAAGTCGGCACCCTGCCCCCCACAGGCGGGTGAGCAGTAAAGGAGGTGCAGTGAGCTTTGGGGTGCTCTGAGGGTCTGCCCTTCCTCCTGGGTGAGTGGCTGGTGGTCAGGGGCTACGAGACCTCTCCCTGTCCAGGTCTGACCTGAGGCCCTGTATCCTGCCCTCTGTCCCGCCCCCTCCTGGGCCTCCCCAGCCCCTCCCTGTCGGGTCCCCCAGGACCTCTGGCCGCCCGGCTTCCCTCACCTGGAAAGGACACCCTGCCGGGTCCCCGTGGCCGTTTGAAGCCCAAAGACACTCCCCCTTGCAGCCTGGCCCGCCTGCTCTCCCATCGGGGCAGCAGAGCCCGGGAGGGGTGCCCGTGCCTCGTGCTGGGCAGGACAGACCCCCCTGGAAGGACCCAGGATGGGGGCCCTTGAGGGGGTGCAGAGAGCTTCTCCAGGGGCCCTAGGGCACCACCCCCTGGTGCCTGGAACCCGACGCCCCCACTCTGTGGATGGAAAAACTGAGTTTGGACACAAGGGGTTGCCCCCAAAGGCGGTCTCCAGCACCGAGCAGGAGGCCCCCCCCCCCAAGGGCCGGCCCCGCCCAGAGGGTTGGGTGCTGGCGGAAGGGAGCCCAGGGAGGAGGAAAAAGGGGTGCAGCCTTCCTGGGGGTGGTCTTGGATTTGTCGGGGGAGGGAGCCAGGAGGCCCGTGTTTTTTATTTCTAAATGCACCCCATCGACCGCCGGCGGCCCAGGTCCGACTCATCGATATTCTCGCCGCTGCTCGCTCCTCCGACGCCTCCGCGAGCTAATTGCCCTGACATTTCCACAGACAGCGCCTGTCGGGGGATCTCGGCCTGTCCCTGCCGGGGGAGGCGGGCCGTCCTGCCCTGCGCCCCCTCCACACTTGGGGGCCCCCAGACAGGGCGAGGGTGGAGGCAGGCAGCGCAGGTGAGGCCTGTGCCCCTAACCCTGCTCCCCAGCCCGGGGAGGTGGGGGGTGGGGGGGTGCTCTCTGCAGGCGCCCACACAGCTGGCCCAGGCTGGGATGGAGGGGGCAGGCATCGGCCAGAACCCCCGGGGCCCAGGGACAGCCCGGCTGGCATGATGCCCGAGTGCCCAGGTGTGTCCGTGTCTGGGCGGCCTGTCCCCTGTGAGCAGGGACACTGGTCCCAGGACTCAAGTGATGCCCACAGCGACCTCAAAGCCCTCTGCCCCTCACACCCGGGAAGTGACCTTTGACGCCAGGTCACGGAGCGCACCTTTGCTGGTTCCCACTGGTTTTCTCTCTTTTGGTGTCACCCTCACCCCAGGACATGTTTCCATTGATTTTTGGAGAGAGCGGACGAGAGAGGGAGGGACAGAGAGAGACACATCGACTGGCTGCCTCCCGCACACCCCTGACCAGGGCCGGGAGCCGGCAACCGAGGTACGTGCCCTTGCCTGGAATCGAACCCGGGACCCTTCAGTCTGCGGGCTGACGCACTATCCACTGGGCCACACCGGCCAGGCCTGTCCCAGAGGTTTTGATCTGGGCAGGGAGGGGCCTGACATGTGTGTTGGGTTGGGGCGGATAGAGGAAATTAATATATGTAAAGTGCTTAGAAGGGTCCATCAAGCACTCGATACATGTTAACTACTTCATTTATTACCCAAAAAGTACACACTGAGGGGGAGGGTGGGGTTTGCAGCTGGGGGTGGAGGGGAGCAGCCCCCAGGCCTGGGAAAGAGCCCTGAGGCCGCTGCTGGCCCTGCCCCTGCCCACGTAGGCGCCCCTCGCCCTCGTCTGGGGGGGCACGTCTGGGGGGAGCACGTCTGGGGGGAGCACGCTGTCATTATGGGCCATTAAGTCCCCGGGAGGCCGTCGCCGGAAGAGGCCGTTGAGCTCAGCGCCTCCTGATTGCAGGCAGGAGCTGTGATTACTCAGCACGGCTGGGGCGGGGGCGGGGGGAGACAGGGAGGTGGGGGCTGAGTCACCCAGGGGACGCTGCCGGAGCCCCGGCCACGGCCACGGCTACATCCCTCATCATCCCACCTCCATGCGGCCCCTCCTCCTCCTGCCCCCAAAGCCTACCCCTGGGCCTCAATCCCGCCCTTCTCCTCTTCCTGCAAAGAGCACCTTCCAGCCCTGGCGTCCCTTTCGGGGTCTCTGCTCACCCTGGGGTGCTGGCAGCATCAGCCTGTTAGGCCATGACCCACTGGGCCCTTGAAGAGGCCATGGCAGGGAGCTGGGGACGCCGGCTGCCTGACCCAGGAGCTCGCTCACCTCAGTCATCCCGGCTGCAGAATGAGTTGGACCGGTTAGTCGTGCGGATTTTTCTCAATAGATGGAGTTACACACGTGTCGATCTGTATGCCATGTGACGTGTGTGCTATTTTATTGTGCTGCTCCCTCAGGTGACCACTCGTTCCGATCGACGGCATCGCACTTTCTGAGCGGCGCTTCAACACATACAAAGACGTGGAAAATGGGGTCTCTGAATGGTCTCCTCAAAACAAGAAAAGTTCTATTGGGACGGTCTCCACAAATCACCTGAAAGATGGGGGAAATGTGTAGCAGGCGACCGACTTCACTTTGAAAAAAGCACTTTCAAAAAAAAAAAGAAAGAAAAAAGCACTTTCGATGTTTCCCTTGAAATTATCGTGTTTTCTTTGATGACAAAATCCGCACTATTAACCAGTAAAGGGTCAATCCGCATTTTTAACTAGTAAAGGGTTAATTTGTATTATTAACTGGTTAATAATTAATCTGCATTATTAACCTGTTAATAGTTAATCCGCATTATTAACTGGTTAATAGTTAATACGTATTATTAACCGGTTAATAGCTAATCCATATTATTAACCTGATAATAGTTAATCTGCATTATTAACCAGCTAATAGTTAATCTGCACTATTAACTGGTTAATAATTAATCTGCATTTTAACTGGTTAATAATTAATCCGCATTATTAACCGGTTAATGGTTAATCCGCATTTTTAACCATAATAATGCGGATTTTGTAATCAAAGAAAACACGATAATTTCAAGAGGACCATCCGAAGTGCTTTGTTCAAAGTGCTGCCCATCACTAGCTACGCGTTCCCCCATCTCCCAGGCAATTTGTGGATCCGTCCCAGTAGGACCTTCCAGGTGAAGGCCGTGGACGCTGATGCTGCCGTGCACCCTCCCAGGCCCTGAGGGTGGAAGGGGAGACGAGAGGGGGCCAGGG